CCATCTCTTCCTCCTCCTCCTCCTCCACCACCATCTCTTCCTCCTCCTCCTCCTCCTCCTCCACCATCTCTTCCTCCTCCTCCTCCTCCTCCTCCTCCACCACCATCTCTTCCTCCTCCTCCTCCTCCTACTCCTCCTCCACCACCATCTCTTCCTCCTCCTCCTCCTCCTCCTCCTCCACCACCATCTCTTCCTCCTCCTCCTCCTCCTCCTCCTCCTCCACCACCATCTCTTCCTCCTCCTCCTCCTCCTCCTCCTCCTCCTCCACCACCACCACCATCTCTTCCTCCTCCTCCTCCTCCACCACCATCTCTTCCTCCTCTTCCTTCTCCTCCTCCTTCTATTCCTCCTCTTCCTCCTCCTCCTCCTCCTCCTCTTCCTCCTCCTCCTTTTCCTCGTCCTCCTCCTCCTCCACCTCTGTCTTCTCTTCATTTTCTTCTTCCTCCTCCTCTTCCTCTTCCACCTCCTCCTCCTCCCTCCCCTTCACCTCCTCCTCCTCACTCCCCTTCACCTTCTCCTTCTCCTCCCCCACCACCTCCCCCCCCCCTTTACCTCTTCCTACTCCTACTCCTCCCCCTCCCCCCTCTTATTCATCTTCCTCTTCTCCTTTTCTGAGATATTTTTTCCTTTTCCTTAATACAGATGAACTTGTGTATTTTGAATAGTACGGTATAGTATACCACAAAATAATTATCTTAACAAATGAGTATATTTTGCAGCATACTTCTCTGACGTTACCTATAATGTTGTGATCTTTCTTTCCCAAAAGCCGAACTGAAAGCAAGAAAAGCTTATTACAATATCCACGGGAAGCTCGTTTACAGTAAATTTGACTTCTCGGAGCACACCCCCATACTGCAGGGCGTGGAGACAAAGTTGAGGCCAGAGGACCTGAAAGTGATGCTGGCCAAGACTCTGAAGGAGAAGGAAAAGGTTTGGACTTTTTTTTTTTTTTTTTCTCTTTCTCTCGCTTTTTCTTTAACCCCTTGGTGCCGGGTATGACGTGTACGTACGTGCTATGCCTACAGTGAGTACTTGTTTGATTGTTTTTACGCATAGATGGCAACACTTGTACTAACTCCCCAATGAGCCAGTTATGAGCACCGCCCGTCTCGCCCGTTTACCTGTTTCTTTGATTTACAAAATATTTTACGTAATCTTATTTTGCTGTTACTAATGTTAAAAAAAGAAAATATAAGAATTATAATGTTTGTGATGAAAATAACACCATCGATTTTCATAGCACTAGTGAAAAATATGTTTTTCCCACCATTTAAATCAGGCACTAGCAGAGCCATCTATCGGCAGACATTTCACAAAAAACATAGAAAGTAGGCACAATATTTTCCCCATTTTTTGTTCATTTTCCCCGGCACCATTGGGTTAATACAACCTGCACCACTGGACACAGTAGCCAGAAATAGGATCCTGAGCATGGAAATAGCATCCTCCCTGGAGGCTGCACTCTTTCAGTCATGGCTGACATATAATACATTCCACACTTGTTTATAGATGGAAATAATACAAAAGCCCCTTACTAATTGCCAAATGAGTCTAATCACCCTTAAAGAGCTTTGTACACAACAGTAAGTTTTTGTCACCCTGAACCATTGCCAGATTACCCTCAAGCCAATTTTTTTATGATTTGCTGGATTGTAGGGTTGTTAAGATATAGATAATAAGATTTCTGAACAAGTGCAACTGTTGTAGTAATTTTTAAAATTTCCCATTTTCTTGTTTCCAACAGAGAAAAGAGTTGGAGCAGAAAGGTGCTGGTGATGTGGCAGCCAAAAGAATGGAGGAAGCAGCTTGGAGTTCGGCAATGCAGAAGGCGGAAGGGAAAAAAGTAAGAATTTTTGAATTACAGAGAGGCAAGACCTCAGCTTCTATATTGAGTTATTTTGTGAAATTCGGTTGGTTAATGTTTTCTGAATATATAATGAAGAAAAGTCTGAGGATAAAAATTGATATTGTATTTTAAAGGGAACTGTTTTTCATTTCAAATTGTGGCATTGTTTGAAACAGGTTCGAGATGATGTAGATTTATTAAAGAAATCAATCAAGCTAAAAGAAAAGAGAAAGAAGACGAGTTCAAAGAAGTGGGAACATCGCAAGGAGATGGTACAGAAGAGACAAGAGGAGAAACAAGCAAGAAGAAAGAGAAATATAAAAGCACAGAAAGAGAGAAGACTTAACAAGAAGATGGAAAAAATGAAATCTAAAGGTCACATAGTACCAGGCTTTTAATAGAGAGAGAAAGAAAAAAAGAAAAGGGAAAAAAAAAAATATGAAAAAAAAAATGTTTAAGGGAATTGTGGCTAAGTTAATTTGCCTTGCATGTTTCGTTCACCTTCACCAAGATTGGTGTATGTATATGGAGCAAGGGAGTGAGAGTGAGAGCGAGTGAGTCTGTGAAGCTTGTGAATGAAACATTTTGCAGGACTTCTCCAAGGCTTGTGACTTCTGAAGTTCCCCGTACGGTTTTCTTTTTATTTCAAAAGGACATGTTGCCTACTTATGTAAACTAATCATCTGGAATTTTTTTTGTTTTACATGAATGTTCTTAACCATTTTTTGTTATATGAAGTTGCTTTTATTTTAGAATAAAAGATTGGTATGTTTCTATTGGTGATTTCGGATTGAGGTTAAATATGCAAAAGACGTTTCATATACCCTAGACCTTTCCTGACGATAATGCAGATAGTGTTGATATTACTCATTGAATTACATGTATTTAGAAATAAGTAAAATGTTATTACTATGTTATTGTCGTTAATTTTAGTTATAATTATTATTATTTTTTGTTATTATTATTATTATTATTATTGTTACTACTACTATTAATTTGAATTAGTTTTTTTTTTTTCTTTCTTTTTCTTCTGAAATATACACAAGCTTAAGTTAGGCTACATACATAATCAAATAGTGTCAAGAATGTTGGATGAAAGAATACAATATTTAGTGTGGTGGAATATTTTACCATTATACATTACAACTTTTTGGTTGCCTACAAGAGTGTGCAATGATCTTGGTGAATGTAGTGGCATAACTGCTAGGTATATATATAAATATATACTATATTGGCCTTTCACTAACCTCTCCTTGAAGTGTCAAACTATTTCATTACAATTTTTTATTTTGCTGTGTACAAAGTGGATGAACTGGTTAAAGAATACAGTAATAATTTAAATGTAAATGTGAAGCAGTCTTCCAAGGCAGGTAAAAAAGGCAACTATTTTTGAGATCACTGGGTGGGCTTTCTGTACTCCCTAAGTATAATAATAATTATCAGTTCCGAGGATGAGCACATTGTACAATCTCCCCCCCCCCAAAAAAAAAAAAAAATAATAATAATAAATAAAAAATAAAAATATTGGCATACTTGTGCTAGTGCTGTTGAAATTCAAAGATATGCAGGTGTGATATTTCTGTAGGGTTGGTATCTGTGGCACTCAAGTTGATCCTTATTTTTAAAATATGCAGGCATTTTATGAGCTGTAGTATTTGAAGCAGGATATGCGATTGCACATACATGCATTGATTTTGCAATTTCAAGGCATTGTTCATTTTTGGAAGTGTCACTTTGAATACCCAGCAATATAAATGGTATGGGTTGCCTGAAATTGATATAAACAAAGGCTTAAATCCTGTGTGTGAGAAGACAATAATTTTAACTATT